CCGCCGCCGCTCCCTCGTGCCCCCGTTGTGATGCTCCCGTCTTCCGCACCCACGCGCCCCACCTGGCTCCGAAGGTCGCGAATGTGCAGCGCCCGGTTTGTGCATCCGATAGCGAGTCGCTTGGAGTCCGCGGAGAATCTCATTGCCGTGACGCCACTCAAGCTGGCCTCTGGGACCTCTGGGACGTACCCTATGACCTTGCCACCCCCGACCATCGTGATCTGGGCCTTGTCGCCCGCCACCGCCAGCACCTTGTTGTTGCCGCTCCAGTCGAGCGCCGACACGCCCGCGGCCTCGTCGATCGCGACGTCCCGGCGGGGGTCGGCGCTGAGGGGGGCCCACACCTGCACCGCCGCGCCGCAGCACGCGGCGAGTAGCTCAGACGTGTTCCATGCCTCCGGCCCCGCCGCCATCCTGCCAGGTGCGAAAGAATAGCCTGAAACTCAATATGATATCTAAATTAGACACTAACTATGGACGCAGGCGCAGAAACAACATCTGTGCTCGCCAGATCGATTTTTTGAAAGCGCGAATTGTCCGGGCTGCGCGTGAGAGCAGAAATGCTGGATCCTTTATCACACATCGATAAGCATTTGATAAACCAACATTGGTACAGCAAAGGCATTGCAGCAATCGTGTACATTAGTCAGGGCACCTCGGCAGCACGTGCTTGCCATGCTGGCACGCCAGCCGCTTGTGTGCTGGTGCGTACGAGGTACACAGCAGGGCCTTGCGCTTGTGACACCACACTGGCGAGCAACTTTGAAGCGTTGTTAATTACATTCGTGACGCGTTGTGCCACAGCAATCAAGAACGCGCCACCCCGACATGTCGATTCCGCGCTTCCGGCAGTTGCCACACTCACGCTTTCAGTGCTTGCACAGCACGGGATGCTTAGAATCGCGACACCCGGCGTAAACAGCACGCCTTGCACTTTCAAAGGGATAAGCACGGGCGCAAGAGTGGGGTCAAGGGTGTCTCTCATCTGTGCTGCAGCCACAAAACCGGTTCAAGCGGTGCCGAAACATGCCGGCTGCTGGCTTCGCATAACAATATGCATACAGGGACATAAAAAAAGCCACACACTAGCGACTCGAGCAGATGGTGGCTCAGAAACCCAATCTAACGAAGCTGCAGGCCCAGCCAAGGCAACCCAGCCAAGGGTGCGGTGGAGGCTCACTCTTGCAAGCACGCGCTGTCATCTATGACGTCACATCACATCACGTTGCGTCACATCACGCCTTGGGCTTGAGCGCCAGCCGCGCCCGCACCTCGCCTTTGGGGCCGTCGTACTGCTCCAGGATCCGCTTGGCAAACTCCGGGACGTGGCGGGCCGCCCTGGCATCATCGGGTGACGGGGAGCGAGGCAGCGGGTAACGCATGTGTTGCGAGACCAGGCACGCTCCTTCCCAAGCTGGCTTGGGAGTCTGCTGAACCTTGAAAAAGAAGCAGAGAACGCACCACGCCCTGCGAACCGTGAAGGGCATCGTATGACAAATCGCTGCTCATGAAAAGCGTGCCGCAGTGTTCCCCTCTGCGCCCGCACCTGTCCGGCCCCATGTGGCGCTGGCAGTACAGCCAGTTGCGGATGTAATGGTAGTCAATGCTGTACCTGCGGACACGCAAATGAGGGGCCACGCGGACGAATCGACGGCTGCCATCACACACGGCAGGGGGCCAAAAGGTCGCTACACGCCGCGAGTCAACCTAAGAACATCCACAAAACCCAGTCATCACCACGCCCCAACGGCGCGAGGCATTTCGCGCGTATAGATAACGACGTTCAACCCTAGCCACGACCCTCCCTCCCTGGGGCTTTCGAGCCCCGCACAAGGAACTCAGCCTGCTGGGCCTCTCCATCACATTGATGTTGCAGGGGCAACAAACGCCCGCGCGGCTCACTTGGCAAACTCGAGGCCCTTTGGCCCGACCAGATTCAGGATCCAGGCAATGATGTTGCCGAGCCACAGGGGGGCGGGGTCTTGGAAGGTGCCCAGCTTGGCCTGGTCGTCAGAGATGACGGTCTGAGGCAGCGGGGCGGCGCGGGTGGCGGGCGTTTGGGATGTTGCGGGGGGAATTGGGGCCGAGGGAATTTGGGGACGATGGTGGAAGCATGGGTGGTCGAGCGTGGTGCGTGGGGGGCGTGTGTGCACTACCGCCAACAGCGATGCTGCTGCGGGCTGCTGCTGTTGCTGCTGCTGCTGCTGCTGCTGCTGCTGCTGCTGCTGCTGCTGCACAAGCGAATAAACACAGCCAGGCGGCCCCATGTGCCTGGCGCAGGGGCGATGAAGCACATCGAGCAGTTCAAGCCGCCAAACGCACAGTCGCCACTGCGGCTTCCAAAAAATTCGACATGTCACTGCATTTTCGCCATCGCGTCGCGGCCGGCGCGCCCACCTGCATCACGAGCGGCCGCCTGTCCCCGCGGCTCTCCGCTGGCACCCGCACCAGCTGCCCCGCGGCGCCCAGAGCATCAAGCATCTCTCGGCCCCTCTGCAGTAGTGCCAGGGATCAGGGGCGTGTCTGCTGGGCGACGCCGGCTCTATGGTGATACGCGAGGGCGTCCGCGCATCCGTCGACATCACGTACCCAGTTTGACCCCTTTGACCACTCGTGTCGGTGCCAAGGCGACTGCTTTGCAGCCGTACAAGGGAGCAAGAGAGCCTTTGCGGTTGCACCAATGGTTCCTGCGCTTCAAAGCTGGCTGAGGCTTCATGCCGCGTGCGGGTGACGGGTGGTGCAGTGGTGCAGTGCGTGCGTGTGCCACACGCGCGCCCCATGGGCCCACCTCGTTGCGGACTGTGACGTACTGCAGGTGCTTAGTCATGTCCACTCCCTGGTAGGGCACACCCATGTAGCCCACCTGGGGTGTGAATGCAGGCGCACAGGTGTGTGTAGGTGTGTGTGTGTGTGTGTGTGTGTGTGTGTGTGTGTGTGTGTGTGTGTGTATGGAGGGGCCCAATGGGTGGGTCAGGGGTTTGTTGCGAACACAAAATTGTTGCATGCATAATTGTGATGTTGGACATACAGGTGGTGCAGGCTTGGCCCCTCGGCCCCGCAGACCCATTCTGGGCCCCCTGTCACCCTGCGCGTCAACGTGCCAATCCTCGCTGCTGGTCAGCACTAAACTGAGGCGATTGTTGCTCAACATGCTGAGCGTCCCCCTCACACCTCCCACCCCAACAGCCCGCACCACTATGTCTGCCAGCGCGTTGGGGTAGTCAAAGCAGCTGTAGCATGACGGCGCAATGACGTCATTCAGGTCCTTTTTTTGAGTCATGGGGTAGGTGGGTGCATGGGTCATCAAGGTGGGGTCGGGGCAGGGCAGGGCGTCGGACAGGCAACCAGCACGCTGAAGTGGGTGGAATGACCACCAGCAGCGCCTCCGAGCGGCCGGATGCTTTCTGGACGCGCGGGCGCACGCACGCGTGCGTGTGTCACACCGCGTGCCCCAGCCCACCTTTGCTGGCAGGCAGAAGTAGGGGACGTACTCGAAGGACCCGTCTGTGTGTTTTATGTGGACCTTGTAGTCTTGCATGAACTCATAGTGCAGGGCCGTGTCTGGTAGGGGGAGGGGAGGTAGAAATCCAAGGCAACGTCTGAATTAGGGATACAAACCACGGTGGGGATGCTGGTGGGGACGGGTAGGAGTAGCGCCCAGGCCACGGTGTTGCAGGGTGTGCCGGGGGCTGGTTGAGGCGTGGGGCCGGGCGTGTTGTTGCGAGCAGGCTTTCATGCGCGCAGGATTGGGTTGAGCGGTCAAGTGTGTTGCGCCAGCTGGAAGACCCAACGGTGGACTGCACAGGCTGGTTTACAGCATAGTTGGGGGCAGGACGACCACCACGCGCTTCCCCCTCGCAAAGGCCTGCCCCGCCCGCCTGCCTGGGTCCTTGCTGGCTGCCTTGAGGAACTTGTCCAGGCCCTCCCTGGGGCCGTTGTCCACGCAGTTGGTGCCCATCACGTACAGCTTCTCCAGGGACAGGTAGGGCTCGATGGACCGCAGCGCCTGGACCTGGACGGGCAGGGGAATTAGTGGATAGATAAATGGATGGATGGATGGATGAATCGATAAATGGATGGATGGATGGATGGATGGATGCACGGATGAACGAGTGCATGGTTAGATGGCCGCTTGGCCCGGCAGCATGACCGGAAAATGAGGATTCCTTGGGCTGCCAAGGATCTGAACGGCAGGAGGGGCGCCTGCCACGCAAGATCCTACATGTACCGCTCCCAGCCAAAAGCGTCCCCACTGCAGGCCCCAACCTCAGCCGACCTGGCAGCCGACCCCGATGAATAGCAGCCGCTTGACGTCGGGCGCGAGGGCCTCCACTGTAGCCAGCACCTTCGGACCGCGGGGAGAGCGCCCGCGGGGAGGGGGCGGCTGATGTCGTTGGCAGCAGGCAGGGTTTCAGATTCAAAAATGGGATCGAAGACAGAGTGGGAAGATGTCACTTGGGATCAACTGAGTGCCGCATGTGCTGTGATGGTCGAGGGCGATGGCGACAAGTTAGTGCCCAGTTGCATGCGGGAAACCATACTTCTATGCGTGCACACGTCACCAACAGCTGCTGAGCAGGCTGCACGTTGCTTGCTATGAGCAAGCAATCGATGCGCACGTGCATAGACTCGCGCATGCACCGCATTAGGGCACACGCGCTGCCACTTGCCGGCATATGCAAGCTCACAGACCTCCAGGTTGGGTGACAAGGAGGGCTTCACGCCGCGCGACGCCAGAATGTCCTCGGCCGTGCGCGCCACCACGGGACGAGGCTTGAGCCTGGGCCGCGGGCGAGAGCAGGGAGCAATTTGGGCATGCTGCCCCATGGTGGGTGACTCATGGTGCTGGCTGGCGGCAAGAGGCTCAGAAGCTAGGGTCCGCTGGCACCATGCACGGCACCTCCCATCGCAGGGAAAGGCGGGTTGGAACAAAAAGGCCGCAGCGAGCAACCCCTCCCCCGATTATCTGTCCAGTCGTCCAGGGTGCCTGACTGGACGCACCGCATCACCGCGTCACTCCCCAGCCCCAGGCGCGCATTTAACCCTAGCCTCCCCATGCGCACACTGCCGACAGCTACACCCGAAATCACCGAGGTTTTACGAACATCCAGAAAGCCCCACAAAACCATCCTCCTTTGTAAATCCAAGCCACCGCGAAAGCACGTGCTTGCACACCACTGCCTCCACAAACATATGTGCGCGCGCGCGCACACACACACACACACACACACACACACATCAACACAAACACACACAAACACATATGCGCGCGCACCTGTCATCGGGGTCCGACTGGACACAAACCACAGCATCCACCTTGCCGCTGTTGAGCATCTCAATCGCAATGCCTGGAACAATGGATTTCGCGGTGCTTGCTTGTGGGTTGGTGCTGGCTGTTCGCGCCAGCTAATGCGGACTGGTCACATCTCAGCGTGCACACGTGCGCGCACACACACACATACACATGCACACATACACACACACACACGCATACACACACACACACACACTCTCTTATTCTTTCAGCACATGCATTCATCAACATGACTGAAGCACAACAGTACATGTTACCCCTGAACACACAGCATCTCAAACCTGTGACAACGCCCGTCCATTGTGCGCCCTCCAGCCCAGGGTCCCGCCTGGCATAGAGCACCTGGCGTTCAACAGCAAAGGGCAGCAAAATAAACGCAACGTGGGGTGGCACAAAGGTCAGGGCGAGCCCTGGAAGGAGGCAGGCGAATTGACGGCAGCAGCTGCACTGAGATCGCTGCGGGCGACAACACTGCAGCCCTGCATATGCTTGGAGCAGCCATCCACCAGGCGCAGCCTACGCCTTCACTAGCATCGAGCTGGCCCCCGCAACTTCGCCAGCGCTGCGGCCACGCCAGCCGCCCCTGCATGTCTAGACCCCAACCTCGCATGTCCCTACCCCACCCTATGCACGCTCCTGAGCCACACCCATGCTCGGCTGCAGCAAAGCGCCCGCACTTTGATGCACCCCTGCGCTCCCACACCCCTGCGCCCAGCAGCACTGGCCCCACCCCGCCCCGCACACCTCCTGCGCCACGCCAAAGTGCAGCTCGTCATCATCGTCCGGGTCCCTAGGTCACAGGAGTGTGGTGGGCGCAGACGGGGAGCAGGTGGACTCAAGCGGCCGGCTGCCATCGTGCAAACCTGGCAGCCTGCCGTGACCGCAAGTCGAGCCCCGCACCCAGCCTCATCAAACCCGCACGACGGGGGCGGAGAGCAGCGCGTGGTGGCGGTGCAGCCGTGCAGCCGTACAGCGGTGCAGTTAGCGCCTGCGGCTGCAGGCGGCACCTTTGGCTGTGTCGGAGGGTGCCTGCTGCTGCCCACCTGCGCCTGCCGTGGACCTGCTCCTCCAGCCGCTCCACCTTGCTCATGCCTTTGGTTTCAAGATGAACAGGGGTTTGTTTGTGTGCACGCACATGTGTGTGTTGTGTGTGTGTGAGTTTGTGTGTGATTGTGTGAGTGTGTGTGCGAGGCAGCTGCAGCTGCAGCTGCCGTTGCAGCTCAACCGCCCACATGGAGGGGTCCTCCTTCAACCAGCCCCAAGTAAGGGGCGCACCGTCCCCCAGGAAGGCACAGGCGCTCTTGACGTGAGCCACATAGTATGTGTCGCACAGCCCGCAGTGGCTGCAGAACTCCTTGGCGGGATAGCTGCTGCCAGGCTGGATGGGGCGCGCCTGCGGACGCCACAGTGCGTCGGCGGCAGTGGCGTCGGCGAGGAGGCGGGCTGACGCCGTTCAAGTTGCTAAGGGGCGAGAGCGCGGTGGTCGCGACGCGAACGGCCTTCGCTTGTCACGCCGCGTCATTGCAAATTGCGGCACAAATGGGGTAAACACGCATGTGCGCACACCCGGTATGCAGTTCAACAAGTAATACAGTTGCATACAGCGTGCTGACCACATGCATGGTTGCACACCTTGGAGCGCCAGTCATCTGGGAGCTGCGGCGCCTGAGTTGGCGCGGCACCTGCAGCGCCGCCTGCCCGTGCTGCACTAGAGCGCGTCAGCGGGACACGCGCACGTTGCCCTGATCTCGCGAAAGCCTTTGAGCTACATGTTTGCGATACGATGTTTCCCGCTGCTGACCGCGCGTCCAGGTTTGCCATCGCAATTGTAAAAACCTGTGCGCAGATCGGGCTGGATGTCACTTATTTGCGGGCCAGTCGGGAGAACATGGGTCTCTTGTCGATGTGCTACCGTGAGGAAAGCCGGCGATGCCATGTTCGACCCTGCCATGGTCGACCGACCGAGCGCGCCCCCTGTCACTCTCACCCGCAATCGAGCCAACTGCACTCGGTGCTAGCGGCCCGAACCCTCATCTCAGCTGTACATGAATGAGATTATGACCTATCACAATCTTGCATGAGACCAAAATGCAGGGCACACTGGTAACTCACGAGTTGTGTGTCAACCCCGGCGCTTCGACCATGTGACAGGGATATGCGCGCCGTGCCCTGTGCCCCACCGCTGCCCCGCCATCCCGTTGCTTGGCACATGAATCAAGGTGATTGAGCCTTCACCATGCAACCCGGCTGCTCGTTTCACTGAGTTGAGCATACCGCTGCTCTCAGGACTGGTGATGCATGTGGCCACTCAGGGTGCCACGGGTGTCAAATCAGCACCTCAACAGCTGCTGGCCCGTTGTCTCACATACCTGCAGAGCTGTATCCCGCAATCACCATACTGCACAGACCAATTTGTTGGCCTGTCTTAGCCAACATGCTGAGGCCAAGGCAATCAGATCCCCGCCTGCAATTTGATCCAGCCAAGCTGCAGGCCAGCGGTCTGCCAATGCTTCTGGGTTTTCAAACCGATTGCCACAAATGGTACCAAGAGCGAGGCAAAACGTTTGAAAACAGCAGCCACGACAACCTTGATAAAGGAGTTTACGATGCATGTTTGAAGCAACACGGCGCCGCACGCTCACTAGGCGCTTGACACCCCTCTGCTGCCTGTAACCGATGTGGTTGCCGCCGTTCCCGCCTCCCCCTCTTCATCTGGACGGTCCGCCTCAACAGGCGGCTCTGGCTCGCCCGCCTGTGGCTGCTGCTGCTGCTGCTGCTTGCTGTTTCCCGCCGCCCTCGCGCGGGCAGACGCACCGCCGACGCCCTTGCCGCCCCCGCCGTCGCCGCCGCCGGCGGCCCCATTCGAGGCCCCGGCCGACCCAGCGGCCGCCTCGGAAGGCCGCGCCGCGCTGGCGGCCCAAGAGGGGTCTGGCACCACGATCGAGATGAATTCGTCGTACGTGATGCCCCTGTATTGCGCCTGTGGCAGACCGGGGTTGCGGTGGAGTGGGCGGACGGTGGGTTTGGGGCGCAGCCGCACATGTGCCGGCGGCTGAGTAATGCACAGATAACGGAACAATTAGAAATCCAAGTGTATGGAGGCAAGAGAGGGCAACCTGCAGGCAGCATGATGCATGTGTATGCGTCGCCGCACGCAGGCAAAGGCTGTTCCTGTGTGCAAGCGATCGCCGCGGGCTCGCGGAGTCGAGGGTTTCGGCGCATTCACCTCCAATTGGAGCGCCAGTTGGCTCGGCATGTTGGCGCCGGAAGACCCGGGCCGCGACGGCGCACCGTCGCCGGCGCCGGGCCCGGCGGGGCCGGCCGCGCCGCGCATGCTGGAATTTAGCCTGCCGCTGCCGGCCACACCCTGCTGTGCGCCTGCACTCGCGCCGCTGGCGCTGGGCAACCGCTTGGCAGGGCTGGCCTTCGCACCGCCGCTGCCGCCGCCGTCTGCGTTCGACAGCCGCGCCGCGCCGCCCGAGGGGCCCCTGCCGGCGCCGTCCGGGTTTGAGAGCCGGGCCGTGGCGCCCCGACTGCTCATGCGGCTGGGCCCGCTGCTGGCAGCAGTGGCGAGCCGTGCGGCGGCTGCGCCCTTGGACTGCGGGCGGCTCGAAGGCGTTTTCTGCCGCGCAGACGGCTCCGGCGCGAATGATTGCTGCCGCTGCGCTGCATTCGGCGCAGTGCTTGAGGGCCGCCTGCCGCCCGCGGGTCCCGTGTCGCCACCGCCGCCGCGGCTTTCCAGGTCGCCGCTCCTCTGCCGCGGCCCCTCGCCTGCCCTGTCGTCGCTGCCGTCTCCAGCGTCGTGCGCATCACCTTGCTCGTCCGCGCCCATGCTTATGACGCCGTTGGTTCCCAGGACAGTTCCCTCTCCACTCTCTGCGTCGGCGCTCGGCTCAGCTGGCGCTCCCTCTGCCACGTTCTCGTCTTTGTCCGGATCGGGATCTGGCGGCGGCTTCACGGCAGCTTCCATGGCCCTGAGCACCTGCTGGACCTCGGTCTTGTTGTACCCCCAATGTTTCAGCAGCTGCAACAATGGTTACGGCGCCGATGATGAGGTTGGGGCGGGGCGCTCAGTGCGGCTTTTGAGTTTATGGTTGACCCTAGCCACATGAGCTGGGCACAGCCTCAACCGCACCTGACGTCTTCTTCAACGTATGCACGAGCCAGCGTGCTCGCCCCAACATGTCAGCAGCTGCAGGCGGCCTCACCTGCCGGCACCTGCCCAGAGCCTCATGCTGCGCCCTGCGCCCTCCCCCCGCGCACACGCGCGCGTGCGCACCCTCCCCCCCCCACAAACACACACCCACACCCACACCCCCCCCACGCACACACAGAGCAACTGAACCCTGTCACCTGCCCACCGAGCTACCCTCCATGGAACACCACACCCCAGCACGACAGACCCAAGCAGCACAGCGCCATAAAGAGTCCCCAGCTGTTCCCTCTAGCTTTGGGGTAAAACCGCACCAAGCTGTTGAAGAAAAACCTCCAGCCCCCACCTCTTCGAGCCGAACCGCCCCCAGCCCCTCGTCCTCATCCTCCGCCACAGAATTGAAGGCGTCCGCCAGCGCGCCGCCGCCCGACACCGCGCCCGACCGCAGCTCCAGGCGCAGCAGCACGCGCGCCTGGCGGTCCCAGGCGGCCAGCCAGGGCGCCTTGTCAACCTGAGGGCCGGCGGTGGGCAGGCCAGCGGGGGAGGGGCGGGGTCGTTGTTTCGGGGTCGACGTTGCGGCGGTCCTCTGGAGCAGGGGTGTATGGGGCTGGGCTGGTTTGCTGGGCATTGCCAAAGCTGGAGTGTGGGCGGGCAGAGAGCCAGGCAGGTGGGTGCGCAGGGACCGACAGGCCCTCAGGGGGGGGGCCACAAAGTGGGTGCCCTCCTGACCCTCATTTTTCCTTGCCGAAGCTAAAGCCCAGCACATGAAAAGTCTGTGTGGTAAACACTATCATGTCCCCCACCCTTCAGGCACACACGTCATCCCCGGCACGGGCGAGCTGCGGCCGCATCACTCGCCTGTGGTGACATCAGCGCGCGGTACGTGGCCCACTCCTGCCGCCCCGTCCACCGCTGCTTTGCGGCTGCCGGGAAGTAGGGGTGCAGCTGCCGCAGCCGCTGGGCCTCCAGGCGGGCGGCCTGGCAGCAATGGGGGAAGGAGGCGCACCCGGCCAGATTGCAGCGTCAGTGTCGCCCCTACCAAGGCTCCTCAAATCACTCACGATCACCTGCCAGCTGCCAAGCAAGTCCCATGTCCTGCCCTGCTGCGCCCTGGACATGAGCCACCTGCACCCAAGCACTGACTGCGTAAAGCCACCGGCGCTACTTCGTCGCCCCTGCTCCAGCCCCCCGATCTCCCCAACTCCACGCC